TTGTAAAAACATATTTTCTTAGAATGCCAAGGAAAGAAAGAATAAAAAAATAAAAATCAAGGAACTCTATGATGCAGCCAAAGGAAGCATCCCTCTCACAAGTTGGCTGAATAGAGAGAATAAAAATGCAGGTACTGTTAAATTAAATATTAAAAAAAATTTGTGCCCTTTTTGGTCCCTCCGCCCCTGCCCCTGAGGAGGTCTGTGCACGCCACTGACTCTATGTGTATCGAGTGACAGTACTCCAACCTGTGGCCAAGTCCTTCCTATCCTCCAGAAACTTGAAGAACACTTTCAAGTTTAAGAGAATGACACACTCTTTGCGGCTGGAATTCAAGAAAAAGGTTTGGGAAGATCTGTCCAAGCGGTACCAGGTACAGCAGCCAGTAAAATGCACTACCCAGCTACCACTTGTTATTTCATGATGATGATGATGATAATCATGAAATACCAAGTACAGATTACTGCTTAGTGCTTCAGTACCGTTTACAGATTACTTGTTTTGAATTTATTATCTTTATCTTAAAGAATGAGGACATCAAGCACTTCCTTGAAGAGGCTACAGTGATGGATCCACGCTTCAAAAATAAGCTACTTGCAGACAACATTTGGGAGAGGGTGAAACTGGCTGCAGTAATGGCACAAAACAAGGTATTGTTGTTTTCTTTCACACAAACACACACAGGGAACAATGTATACTGTGAATGTCTGCTTCTAATGCAAAGCTCTCTCTAAAGGAGGTGTCAGAAGAGCAGGAAAGGGAAAAAGGCCATGAGCAAGAACAGGACAACACTTCAAAGGTGAATGCAAACTCACAATGATAAAGATACATTGTCTGGTGTTGTTGACAAGGATATATATTGTTCATATTACTACTAACTAACTAACACTAATTTTCTTGCTTTTTAGGAAGTGCCTTGCAAGAAAGTAAAAAAGTGTCCATTGGCAGTTCTGTTTGAAAAGGAGGATAAAGCTCTGCAGGGGATTGTGCTTCCAAATCCTACTGGCAGTGGCTTGTCAGTTGATGAGAGAGTTGACAGAGAGCTTATTTTCTACAAAGACATGTCCTAAATCCCCACCTATGAAGACCCTGCTGTTTGGTAGTGGGAGACGAGAGAGGCATTGCCTGTTCTGTTTCACCTGTCTGAATCATACATGTCTGTCCAAGCATCTTCTACTCCTTCAGAGAGGGTATTGTCCACTGCTGGAGACACAATAAGCCAGGAGAGGTCCCGAATTCTCCCAGAGAAAGCAGATATGTTGATTTTCCTTCAGAAAAATTGTAAAAAAAAAAAAAAAAATTGCAAAAATTGCTAAATACTCTAATATATGTTGTTGTTTTTTGACATTGCCAGCCTGTAAATTCATTTGACAGTAAGTAATAAACACAAAAAGGATTGTTTGAGTTGAGTATTGTGCATTTTTCCTTACCACTATTTATTTATTAGTTGTTAAATAATTTTAATGGAACCGGAATCGTTAGGCGGAACCGGAACCGGAAAATTTCTTACGATTCCCAACCCTAGTTACCCTCACCCCTAAACCTCACTCCCATACGGGTCACGGCACCACTGTAGCCCCTCCAGTTCGCACCGCCCGCTCTATGTCAGACTCAAACCTGGGCCCATCCTCATGGGAGGCGGGCACTCTAACTAGGAGGCTAAAGACTGAGAGATCAGGGGAGTAAGGTTTACATGCACAAGCGGCTACTGTCCTATGTCTGTTACATATAAGTGTGAGTAGCGTGAGAGGCCAGTCCTCGTGGGGCGAGTTAACTAAGAAAATGTACAGGCCAAAAATATTTCTTACCAGTCATTAAACAGAGTAAGCATTATTTCTATTAAAAAATATATATTTGTGATTTATGAGATCAGTATTATTTAGCTATAAGTAACAAACAATGTTCACTAGCAGCATCAACTAGTCTTATTCTCTGTTAAAATCCAACGGTAACTAAAGAATCATGGAAAGTTTGTTCCTCACATGTATGTTGTGGGTCTTAATGTGAAGAAGATCCACACGTGTTGCTGCTACATGGAGTTCAGGAGATTAAACACTTGTTCTAGATCAACTGAATGTGAGAACTTCTGAAGTAAAAAAAAATTAAAAATCACGTGGCGCGACGAAGGCTGTCCCAATTTGAAGGGTCCTTCAAATGCAGCCTACAGTCAGTGTCCATGAATTGGGCTACTATTTACGTTGTTGTTGATCGAAGAATGCATTTGTTGGCTGCATTTGAAGAAGCTTTTGTATTGAGACAGCCTTCGTCGTGCCGCGGTGACCCAATCATCTATACCTTCCACTTAAACAAGTTTCGGTGATCCTTCAAAGGATGCAGCCCCTGAATTGGTACACAGCGAGTGTGTTATTTACAACACGTATGTTTTTAGAGTCTAGTGTTCTTTTGGAGTAGTGTGCCAAATAACAGGGTTGTGGTTTGACAAAAAAAGTGGCAAAAGTAAATATCAAGAAACCAAACTAACATTTGAAATTGGTGCGGCCACCTAGTGAGGTAACGCGACTGCCATGATCTGTAAGAGAACAGCTAAAATGGAAAGAAAGTGAATGTAAAACATTTCTTCTAATCTGTTTGTTGTGCTGGGTTTAATCCCCACGCACCTTTCCACCACTGGATGCTACTAGAGTTTCCCATTTATCTGTAAACTAGTTCATATTGACAATGCTCATATGACACTTTATGAGTCACTAACTGAGTCTCTGTATGGAAAACAAGTAATTTTTTTGTGGAATACAAGATGATTAAGATGGTCGGCGTCATCTAATCGCGGATCACATGACAGCAGGAGCAATGTTCCTTTAGATACAGGTCGCAGAAGATACAGGTCGCAGTTTGTGGCGAATATATCTTTAGAAACACTGAGCACTTGTACAATGCATGATATAAATGAATCCATCACTTTAAAGTGCTCAAAATGTGTGTGATAACAATTAGCCTGATACTGTTTTATGATCCTTAAAAGAGAGTAATTCAGTCATAGAGGTTTGTATTTTTATCCCACTTGTTGTGTATCTGGACAGTCTCACATAACGTAACCATTCTGAATTTAGGGGGAAGCTATTAACAATTAGTTAATAGTTATGTGCCTCAACAAGTAAAGTCATAACATAATGATACCTTTGCAAATCATTAGCTAATGATTAATTAAAGCAGACAACTGGAAGTGGAAGTGCATAGCTTTGACTAATTGTGGTAATTAACACATTCATTTACATCATTAGGTAATAAAATATGTTATTAAGGAATTAATTCACAATGACACATTGAATTAATATCAATTAATGTATTACTTAATCTATTAATCATATAGACTCTTTATTAGTTGCTGATGCAGTAATAATTAATTAATGGTTTAGTTCATGAGTCATACATTAACTCATGATTATCTGTGCATTAGTTTAAGCTGCAGTCCATAGCTTTTTCCCTTTTTGTCGCCATCTCTGTTCGAAATCTGAAACTGCAGTGATTCGCGGAATTATCATCTTTACGTGGGTTGTAAATCGGCATGAAACAGCGCGGATGAACATAGTGCTTTGAGGCGAGTGCTGCTGTCAGTCACCGCGCTGTGTGGATACTGTCATTCAGAATCACAGATTCACTTTTTGAAAGCTTGACCAACATAAGAATTTTCATAAGAAAATGTCTTCTGAACAAGTAAGTAACATCCATTTTTGTTCTGATCAACTAAGGGGGGAAAAGCATTCGACATGACAAGCGATCGTTAGATTTAATCAACGCGATTTACAGCAACCGTGCAAATTATAGCCTACTTTGTTCTCAAATTGTTCATGTTAACAACATCAGCATTGCGTGACTAACGTTATTTAATGTGTTTTATGATTACCTGTGTAGTTCAGAATTCATATTCTCCATAATAGCAAAACGAGAAAGGCACAACAAAGGAAACTCCATAACTGTGTGAATTAAGAAAACGTACTGTTACACGATTGAACTGTTGAAATGTCTTACTTGTTCAGCTGAAAAAAGCCGTCTCTTCTTCCGTTTTGAACCCCTTCAAAACACGGAGTTCACGCACCTTTCAAAAGCCCCGCCGATGTGTATCCTTGTGTTCGCATTTGACGGTTTCTTTCTCTTTCCACCGTAAGTCTTTTGGGTTTTATAACTGCTGAATCTCCAGTTGACACTGATGATTGTTGTTTGGATCTTTCTGGATCCGCCATAAGTTTAATTATGTAAAGTGCTGCGAGAAAAGCCTATACATCTAAACATCTCGTCACGCGCAGTATAGCCGGCTAGCCGAAACTCCTTCTTTATGTGTACAGGTGTGACGTAATGACGCAAAGACATGCTCGAATTTCCCGCGAAAACCCACCAGTACCACTGTAATTAAAATCATTATTACAAGCTAACCGTTTTGAATCTAGCTATGGCAAGCAGATAGTTTTGACCACTGGCTGAAGATGTTTTTTTTTTTAAATAATTAATTTGGATTATTTTTAACTTAAAAAAGTTACGGACAGCAGCTTTAAACATGAATTAATGCATATTAGTGCACCCGTATTGTAAAGTGTTACCATATTTTGAGATACAACAGCTGACACTTTAATCCTTGCAGAATGTCTTCCTCCTCGTCACACATGCAATAGACCAGAGACGAATACAGAGGAAGAGTTTCTATCCAGCAGCCATCTAATCTACCTCAACACAGGCTTCTTATCTTATACATTCATCCCACACCGCGGTCACGGATGTACATATGCGACTCGCACAGACACTATGTAACTATACTGTTTTATTGCACTGTTTGTATATTTATAAATTATATGTATATTTGTAATTTATATGTTTCTTCTACTTATGTATATTTTATTATTTTCTTTTAAAGGATTTCATGGTGAAGAATTTCATTGTACAGGGAACATTTGACAATAAAGGCTTTAAACTTTGAACTTTATTGTGTCCCAGTAAAAGGCTCAGAATGTGTGACGCAATGTCAATAATGCCACTCTGAGCTCAAAGAAACCTCTGCGGACAGTGCTGTCTGTCTATTTCTGTAAGTCATTTAGTCTCTTAACTATATATATTTCAGTGTGGTCTGTCTATCTCTGTTTATCTGTCTTTTTCAGTGTTGTTTGTCTCTTTTTACCTGTAATTTCGCAATCATTCTGCTAAATGGCATGTCTCTGCATAGTTTCACTCCCGTGTTGTTTTTCACTTGAAAAACAGGTTCTGGTTTAACAGGTTTAAGTTCAGAAGAAAAAACCTTCCCCCCAGGCCTTTATCAAAAAGCAAAATTGAAAGAAGTTTCAGAACTTCTGCTCAAGACGCTTGTTCAGTGGAGGAACAAGAAACATCTACATCGTCATTATTCATGGTTAGTAAATATTACTTTATATAATACTAAGAGATATTGATTTAAAATGTGTCATGTAACCGTTCACATTGATGTGAGATTTATCACAGCTTTGAGACTGCGCATATCTGTTTTTTGGTTGTTAAAAAAACTCAAAGCAGGTATTTGATCTTTTTAAGTAATTATAACAAATTTACACAACAACTTTCTAATGCAGCTCGGATGACTGTATCTTTGTTCTGTATTTATGCACATTTATTTTACAACCTTTATTTCAATTAATTTATTTAGATTGTCAATGTATATTTTCATAATTTTGTCTGTCTACAGTAACATACTCTGAGTCAGACCTTGACCTCCTGCTTTTGTGTGTCAGTGGTTAATATGTAAATAATAAGGTGCTGGAACGCAAAGTATATATGAGAGCGGAAGGGTGACAAGGCTGGTGCAGGTCCCAGAACGTGTACAAAACGATAATGAAAACTGCATGCTATGTACTCAAATCCCCACTTACTAATCTACTACACTATTCTGTACAGCAGCCAATTTCTATGGAGCCAGATCAGACTCATTAATAATTCACGCAAAAAACATGATTCACACATGCGTAGACAATTTCACGTGCGTGAAAGCTAATTCACGTACACACAAAAAAAAATCACGTGCGTGAAAAAAATATATATTCACAAAAAGCAATTCACATGCGCAAAATAAAATTATATATTCATAAAATACATTTCACAAATGCAAAACACAATTCGTAGATATACAACTGTGCACAAAAACCTTTGAATGTTTAAAATGTACGAGTGTGTCCTTGAATTTGAATGTGCAAATCGTCATTCACGTACGAATCGCATTGCATGTGTGTGTGTGCATTTTTGAGACTTTCCTGCCAGCGCTTTACTCGTAATACAGAGCAGTCGTACTCTTTAGCCAATCAGATTTAAGCTCATCAATCGACCAATCAGTATCACGTGAGGGCGGGCCTACCTGCATGTTACGTCATCAGCTTTCGACCAGTTCATGGCTGAGCAGAGGTAAGTGCAGTTACTCGTTCATTTCGGTGTTAACTGAAGTCAGAGAACAGTTGAAGCAATAGTTTATTAACTGCTGTTTAGTCCACATGTGAACATAAACATTTATTTTTAGTATTGATGGATTTTCATGTCCTGTCCACCACACATTGAACTGATGATAATGTATGTAATGACATGCATAATATATAGGAGACATGTTTTGTTTTAAACTGCATATATTATGTAGTTTTATTGTTTCAGATTTCCGAGACAGATGATGTATGAAGTTGCAGACAACCAGTACTGTGATCTTACCATTCCTACTGTAAATCTTTGAAAACAGTCCTGTTGCAAGCCATCCATTTTGACAGTTGTTTCAACAAGAGGTTGAAAGTGATGCATTGTTACTGTATTCATTTGTCTCCTGCGGACTATATGTACACGCTCTAGGAATACAGCCTTGCTATGCATGCATTATTAAATGTTCTTGTCAGAATGAAAAGATTCAAAGACATAGTTCAATTTGATGTACACGTTTTATTAATTTGAAAGTTTCCGAAATCCTTTGGGAATAAAATATATACATAAAATGACTTGATCATGATTAATGTTCCTGTTACATATGAAGATCATGAACCTTCAGTACAGAGAAATATACGTCTCTTCCAGAGTTGTGAGATCCAGTCAGAGTCTACTTTGCTTTTAAAGTATATAAATATACGTGCAATAAATCATGTGAAAAGTGAACAAATGAATTGTGTTCAATCCAGTCATCAGTAGACCTCTCTGTTAGAACATATCAGATTTTGTCCTGATATTTAAAATAGTAAAAACCTATAGTACGAGAGGTGCAGGCAGAGGACGTGGGAGATTAAGTGTTGGTATTTGAATAGAGTTTTCTGAGTAATCTTAGTCGCATAATCTTAATGGCCTCTCTATGATAAGTACTGGTTGACACAAACTGGTTGACACATCCAGCATTAGACTGAGAAAATCAATCTCATGTTCTAAGCCATATCTGGCTTGTGGGCCTGTATTAAATGCAGTGTGGGGAAAAAAACTTGAGCTGTAGTAGTTATCTTTTTAGACTGCCTATTAACTAGCCTGTTATATGATGTCTCATTTCGCCTTATCAAGACTGCTGCTGCTAAACGAGCACGTTCAAAAACGTTTTTTTCTGAGTGCTCGTTGCTGTTTTTTAATATCCGAAGCATATGAGGTTACTGTACTGTTTATTCCTTTGCTAGTTTCATCCCCCTGTCTTTTCTGGCACCAAAGACCCAACTGCTTTACATGTTGTGCAGCCTAAACTTGATTGATCAGGGGTAGTTGGTCTGTCTAACACTGAATTGAGCTTCTATCCAAACAGTTATGCATCCCACTTCTGACCTAACGCTAAACCCTTCTCCGCTGCAAGCACTCTCCTCTCCCAAATCTGACCTGCGATGTGCCTCCTCTTGCTGATGAACCTGTCTTGCTGCTGCTGTGGCGTGTGTTTCCCAAAAGTAACTACTATGGTTGCACATTCCGTCGTTACCAATAGAGATCAATGGAACTTGCAACCATAGTTGGCTAATGATGTGTGGTGGCAAACAATTTTCTATTACTGAATAAGAGACAACAATTTACCAATTGTCTTTAAAGACGATTTATTCCCTTGCAAGGAAAGATCATACAGTCATACAGAGTGCCTGCAGAAGGAAGGCATGCTTCCTATAGTCTCTAAATGAATAGACTTGTCCCATAACTAACACATTGTTGCATCTTCCGTTCTCTAGTTGTTACTTCCTCTAGTTATCATGAACAATATGTTCCATCCTACTACCCTTGAGTAAAATGTTACCCTGCTCGGTAACATAACCACCCTCTTGTGTAGTCGTCGCCATCCTGATTCATTTAAAGAATCATCATCCGACTCTTCTTTTTTTTTAAATTATGGTAAATTGAACTCTCTTTGATGGTTTTACTGTGCTCAATTCAAAATTATCTGCCAATGGGGTAAGAAAAATAATTATTGGATAACGTTTCCGTTTGAATTAAGATTATTTGGTAACGCTTTAGATTAAAGCCCGGAAAAGTACTGCACAAGTAAAAACAAATTGACAGCGTACCTTTCAGTAATTATTGTGTACCTAAAAGTATGTCTAGGTATAAGGGAATAATATGTAAAGTTTGGGAAAATTTATAAATAATTTATACTGTATTTTGGAACTAAAGGGTACTTATTCTACTATTATTATAGGCAACAATCTTACATTTGGGAGCAATTTAACAAGAACACAATTTTTGTAATAATAGTAAATCAATACATAAAGGCTTTTTATTGCAGGATATATATGCATTTATACAGGAATTCATTTTTTTATAGCAAAAGTTCAGCTTTTTCAGTTTTGGGTTCCATGTATCAAGCCAAGTAAAACTAAAACTATTGCAAGTTTATTTAACCTTTTTAATACTGGGAAAACATACTCTTGTTCTATGAAGTTACAGGGTACGCTGTAAATTCATTTTACTTATGCAGTACTTTCTGGGCTGTAATCTAAAGCGTTAATGATTTTTTTTCTTACTCCATTGACAAATAATTTTAGTTGTTTTAAGCAAAAACCTAATTTCAGTCAAAACCTGAGAGGTCCAGTATCCTGTTCTGCCAGGATCTGGCACAAATTAAGCCATTTATGTGACTCTTGTGTGAGTCAATGAGGGATCAGTGACTGTTTAACAGATGAATTTGGATGAGGTGCCTCTGAGAGTCCGGATTTGATCACAACTTCAATTCATAGCCCATAACACATATGAATGCTTAGGTCCGCATGTTAAGAGTGAAACTAATTCAGATCTTTTTCTTCTTGTCTTGCAGCTGTGAATCAGTAAAGGATGATGGCGTCTGTTGAAGAGCTGCTGTTAAACTCACTAATGAACCTGATAAACAGTGATCTGGAGGTGTTTCAATGGCACTTAAAGAAGGATAAGCATATATTCAATTCAGAATTGGATAATGCAGATAGATGTAAAACTGTGGATAAGATGGTAGCATGTTTTGGACCAGAAAAGGCTTTGAAGATCACGGTGGAGATCCTGAGGAAGATGGACCAGAATGATCTGGCTGATCAGCTGGAGAACAACTACAAGCAAGGTAACATTTTGTGATGCTGCAGGGGTGGTAATGGCGCAGTGTATAAGACACATGCCTTTGGTGTGAGAGACCCGGGTTAGAATCCACTTTGAGACACCAATGTGTCCCTGAGAAAGACACTTAACCCCTAGTTGCTGCAGAGGCGTGCGACCTCTTTGCTTGTGTGATTTTATGTTTCACAGTGAATGATCCTGTCTCTCTCTCTCTCTCTCTCTCTCTCTCTCTCTCTCTCTCTCTCTCTCTCTCTCTCTCTCTCTCTCTCTCTCTCTCTCACTCTCACACACACACACACACACAACCACAACGTATCCCTAATACAGTCTAATTTATTGTTTGGTGTGCTAGCTGTCAATGGTTTGATCAAAAAGCTTTTAATTAGTTTGGTCAGCATGGTCTTAAGTTGATATAAGTCCCAATAGTGACAGTACAATAAAAGGTCTGGAAGGAAATAGAAAAAGAATGTTATTCATACATTTCTACATTGAAACCAATTGCATTCGAGTCAGCATTAGTCAAGGCATTTCCATCACCATATATGTTGTCAATTTCAGCATAATCAGTGTAAGATGTGCATGTAAACACTATTGTAGTAAGTGTGATTAATTTGAATATAGTTGAAGTATGAATTTATGAAAAATACAATCACTTAGGCTTTGCTGTTTTTTCTACTCTTTCTTAAAGGCTCAACTGCAAACAACAGTCAAGCTACTCTTCATGATTACACAGAGACCAGCCGCAGACTGAAAGACAAATTAAAACAGGACTACAGGCGGATATTGGTTGGTAATTCAGAGACAGGTCATCAGAAAAACCTGAATGATATCTACACTGATTTATATGTGGTGGAGAATGAGACTGGAGGAAGAGTGAATGAACACGAGGTGAGACAGATCGAATTGAATCTCAAACAATTTGATGCCAAAGACACACAGATCCAGTGCAACAACATTTTCAAAGTCCATAAGGGTCAACAAAACAGAAAGGTGCTGACAATGGGGATCGCAGGAGTGGGAAAAACTGTCTCCGTCAATAAATTCATCCTTGACTGGGCTGAAGGAAAAGAAAATCAGGATATGGCTTTCATTTTTCCTCTGCCGTTCCGTGAGCTAAATTTGATCACTAACAACTGCAGTCTCATGGGACTGCTAAACAAATATGTCTTTAATGGTACTGAGGAACTGACATCTCTTCCTGAAGGTGATGGCAAAGTTATGTTCATCTTTGATGGGCTGGATGAATGTCGCTTCCCTTTGAGCTTTAAAGAGGGTGACAGAATAACAAATGTTCAGAAAATAACAACAGTGAGTAAGATAGTTACAAGCCTGATCACGAGACACCTGTTTCATTCTGCTCTCATCTGGATCACATCCAGACCAGCAGCAGCCAGTCGGATACCTCGTGAATACATTGATCAAGTGACAGAGGTGCGAGGATTTAACGATGAGCAGAAAGAGCAATACTTCAAAAATAACAGCAGTCCTGAGGTCGCTGGAAACCTCATCAGTCACATCAAGAAATCCAGGAGTCTGTACATCATGTGCCATATTCCCGTCTTCTGCTGGATCTCTCTTATTGTTCTTCAGCCTCTACTGGCTCGAGAGAGCAATGACAAAACACCAACAACTCTCACAGAGATGTACACAAGCTTCTTAATTTCTCAGAAGCAACAGATGGAAAAAAAATTCTGTGATGACCCTGAGTCTTTTGATCAGATTATTCTGAAGCTTGGGAAACTGGCCTTTCAACAGCTGGAGAAAGGAAACCTGATATTCTACAAAAAGGATTTTGAAGAATGTGGACTAGATGTTATCGAAGGTTCTGTGTTCTGTGGGTTATGTACTCAGATCTTTCAGGAGGAAAAGGCTGTTTCAGCAAGAAGTGTTTTCAGCTTTGTACATCTTAGCGTCCAGGAATTCCTTGCTGCTCTTTATGTGTTTTTGATGGGCAAAGATGAGAAAGCTGACCTATTTCCTCAATCCTTGAAAGAAAAACTGGCATGGAAACTGTCCAAAAAGCCACTGTTTCAGCTTCATAAGGCTGCAGTCAACAAGGCTTTACAGAGTGAGAACGGACACCTGGACCTTTTCCTTCGGTTCCTTCTGGGTCTGTCACTGGAGTCCAATCAGAGTGACCTGAAGGAACTACTGCCAGGACTGGAACTCAAAACAGAGACCGTTGAAGACACTATTGACTACATCAAAAAGAAAATAAAGAAGGAGAAATCAGTAGAAAGGACCATCAATCTCTTCTACTGTCTGAGCGAAATGAAAGATGACTTTGTGGAGGAAATCCAGAAGAATCTGAGCTCAGGAATACTTTCAGCACAGAATCTCTCCACTGCTCAATGGTCTGGTCTGGTGTTTGTGCTCCTGATGTCAGAAGAGACTCAAGAGATGTTTGAACTGCAGAAATACAGAAGATCTGATCAAGCACTGATGACACTGCTGCCAGTGATCAAAAACACCAGAAGAGCACTGTAAGAGTCTCCTTTACATTAATTTATAAACACTGTTAGTCGTTTTAATTGGCCCTTGATTTTACTTATTGGCTAAGAGTGTTCAGAAAAAAATTATGTAAATGTATGTGATAAATAGTGTTTTTATGTTTGTTTATGAAGAAAATTGTTTTAGCTTTGCTTACATCACTAAAGTTGAAGTTTTTATTTTCAAGCTCCAGATTATAAACATATTACTGTTGTTGTTTGTTTTGTTCTTTTCACAGGCTACAGTGCTGTAATCTCACTGCTCAGTCCTGTGAAAGTTTGTCTTCAGTTTTACAATCTTCAAACGCTGTTCTGAGAGAGCTGGATATGAGTAACAATGACCTGCAGGATTCTGGAGTGAAGCTTCTTTCTGAAGGACTGAAGAGTGCAAACTGTAAACTGGAGATACTGAGGTAAATGGTTTATGGCCATTTAAATGGCCATTTTCCATCAAAATGTTTGCGAATGCAAATGTTGTATTTTCAAATACATATATTTATACACCCAATTGGGTAACACTTTATAATAACTACACGCTAATAATCATTAGTTAAGCATGAGTAAACAGTTAATTCTTCATTCATAAAGCATTAGTAGACATTAATAAGCAGTTTACAAAAACAGCTATAAATGCTTTCTTCTTGATTTAAAAGCATATCTATAATTTGTTTAATAATTGTATTTTCATCCTTTATTAATGATCAATTTATCATTTCTAAATGAAGAATTGCATTTTTTATAAACCAGTTATTTAAGAGTTGTCAGTGTTTCATAAGATTACTTAGAACGTGTAAGTAAATGATTAATAAACTGTTTAAATGTACATTCATACATCTTATTATTCAGACATATAGTGATGGTTACTTAGTGTGTTAATAAATGCTTTATTAACATGTATTTATGCTGTAATTCAGGGTCAATTTGGGTAGTTATAAAGCATTTAGTAGTGGTCAGTTAACTATGATTGTGAGCTCATCTAAAGTGAGAACTATTTATGCCTTGTAAAGCATTTATAAAGGAGATTTAAAGGCTGTTAAATATTTCTATGTTTTGTATCACTGTGTTGTGTTTGTTACATTTTACTGTTTAGAAGATTGATGAGCCTTTAAATCTCCTTTATAAATGCTTTACAAGGCATGAATAGTCCTCACTTTAGATGAGCTCACAAAATAGTTAACTGACCACTACTAAATGCTTTATAACTACCTGTATTTACTACATTTACTTACACTTTCTAAGTGATCTTATGAATGACTGACAACTCTTAAATAACTGGTTTGTAAATAATGCTATACTTCAATTAGAAATTATTAATTGATCATTAACAAAGTATGAAAATACAATTATTAAACGCATTATAGATATGCTTATAAATCAAGAAAAAAAAGCATCTATAGCTGTATTTATAAACTGCTTATTAATGTCTATTAATGCTTTATGAATGATGAATTAACTGTTTACTCATGCGTAACAAATGATTAATAGCGTGCAGTTATTATAAAGTGTTACCCATAATGGTTATAAGAATTGTTTATACATTTTTTGTCAACAAATCTGAAGCATTCTGATTATTTAGGCCATATCTGTTTACTCATGGGAAGTGTCCTGCTTAGTCTTTATCACTTCGATTCAAGGCCATAATAACAATAATGTAAACAGAGAGCTTTCAATTCGATTAGAGTTCCCCAACCTCGGGGTCGCGATCCAATACCGGGCATGGGAGAGTTGCTACCAGGTCACAAGAACATTCTGGGGAAAATGTCTACATAGCTATGCCACTGTATTATTTATTGTGCGCTTCCCTTTAGTGAAATCACATTTTGTCACGATGTCCGTTTGCTTTGATTCTGTTCTTGTCTGTGTTTGCTTAATCTGTCAATTAGTTCAGTTCTGTCTTCCTCCGCCCCCTGCCTGTTAGTTTCTGGTGTTAGATTGATTGATTGTTAGTGAAGTTCAGGTGTGTCTTGTTAATTTGCTCTTCAATTCTGTCTATTTAAACCCTGTGTTCTGTCGTGTTCTTAACGTTGCATATAGTTGGTTGTCCTGTGTCTGTACCCAAGATCCTGTTTTGTTGTAGTTTGGAGTTCCTGTTTCATCCATTGCGGCAATCAATCGTAACAGAAGAACTGACCTCCAATTAGATCTAGCAGCAGGAGAGACCGGACCATAAGAGGAACTCTGCAGGGCCTTTTGCTTCCAGGATAGACTGGTCATCCGAGAAAAGATCAGTAGAGGAGATTATGTGTTCCATTGATCAAGGTGGTTGTAGTTTAGAGGTATATGTCGAGGATTTTATCAAATATTGCCTTTTTTAATCCAATATTTTATCAGATATTTAGTAACCTAGGAGGACCAAGATCTCATGGATTTGTTACCTTACGCTCACCCCAAGAAAAATTTAGCGGCAGGCTACGCGTACACGGCCACGGAGTGTTTAGCTAAAATATAGAATGCCGACTTTAGGCGTTTCTTTGGTCGTAATAAAGCTTCGTTGTTTGGTCCTTCTGTAATCCAATAATAATACATAAAGTTGGGCAAGGAAAGCCCTCCACTTAGTTGACTTTTTTAGAGCAAAATTTTGGAAACTCTAGGAGTTTTTCCTGCCCATATAAAAGAGGAGATTAGTTTTTCTATATTCTTGAACAAATAGCTTGAAAGAGGTAAAGAAATGTTGGCAGAATGTTAATTTTAACTGCATTTATCCTACCTAGTGGAGATAATGGAAGCGTTATTCCCTGAAATACCAGAAGTGTTTTAAGCATTATTGAAAGGGGCTCATTAGCTATGGCAAAAAGTAATGGAGATGGGGGCAACCCTGTGATAAAGTAAAATACTCAGATTTAACATTTTTAGTATAAACTGAAGCTTGAGGGTCAGCATCTGTTATGCGTTACGTTTATCTGTTATAATAAACGTATCCATGAAATCAATCCATCCCCAAAACCGAACTCCTCTAATGTCCTAAACTGATAAGCCCATTGTATCCTGTTAAATGCCTTTTCGGCTTCTAATGAGATGATCACCTCGGAGGAGCTATTGTTTTGTCTGGAGTATAAAATATTAAAAAGAGTACGGACATTAGAAAATGAATACCGTCCTTTCATAAATCCGGTTTGTTTCTCTGAGATAATACTAGAAAGTATTCCCTCAAAATGATCAAAGGATAATGTCGGGTCCTTCGCATCTTTAAACAATCGAGTTATAGATGCTTGTCTCAGTATTGGGGGCAACATAGCTAGCTCTAAAGATTCCTTAAATACAGATAAAAAAAAGCGAAGCCAATTTATCATGAAATTTCTTACAAAATTCAGAGGGCAGCCCATCTGGGCCAGGGGATTTCTTAGATTGCAATGAATCATTGACTTAATAATCTCCTATATGGGTCTATCAAGTTCAGATGCTAAAAGAGAGTTAACCTTAGGGACGTTAACAAGCCCAATAAATTCTTTCATTTCTTCTTTGTGGTCCAAAGTTCCAGTTTTGTACAGGGAGTAGTAAAAGTTTTAAGAGTTGAATTGATCTCCTCAGGATCTGAGGTTAATGCGCCACCGGGGAAATCATTTATTGAATTAGAAATAAATTCACAAAATGAATTTTTTCAGGGTGGTTGAGAAGTGCGAAAATAAAAGAATGTCAAGACTTAGAGGGGCATGGCACGGAAATAACAATGGGCATATATTCAGAGTTTACAACCTAATGAATTAGAGAATTATTGATAAAAAAAATCTATAAGAGAAAAGATTGATGGACATACGAATAGAATGAGTATTTTTTCGCTGTGGGATTAAAGTGTCTGCGTAGGTCAATGTAACCATTCTGAACCATAAACTTGGTTTGTCCAAATCTGGATCAATAACACAGTTCAGATCTTCCCCAGATATCAAAAGATGTGTTTTCAGAGCTGGGACCTTAGAGAACAAATTCTGAGCAAAGAGAGTATTATCAAAGTTTGGGGCATATACATTTACCAAAACAACTCGTGTTTGTGAAATTTTCCCTTTCACAATTACATATCTACCATTCATATTAGAAATGACATTGTCAATGAAAGTTGGAATGAAACCCTTGTGATATCCAGCAAGTTTGGAGTCTGCATTGATCCTTGAGGCGCAGATGAGTTTCCTGGATAAATACAACGTCAGGTTTCTGTTGTTTTAAATGTGTCAAAAATGTTGGATATTTTATTGGGACCATTCAGTCCTTTCACATTCCAACTTAAAAGAATCGAACTGAACTTCTGGTGCTGTTCATCAAGTTAGGTTAACCTGCCCCCCCCACTTCGGGGCTCACAGCTAAAAATGACCTACCTGAATTAAAATAAATACAGCTCCTGGGAAGAGTGTACCACATGGACAATTAAGGTCTCTTTGGAAAAGGGACACTTGGCATTCTACTAACAATAAATCAGAGTTGATAATGCTCAAACAGATAGAAAGTTATAAAAGTTGCAGTGCCTCAAAATAATGTGCACTACAAAGAATGTTTTATTATTTCATGTTCAAATATATAAAAATAGGCCTGGAGGAATCCAGGTATGTAAAGGATTCAAAGCCACAAGTATCATCAGTCTATATTTCAAATTTGAGGAAGATATAATGAAAAATGGGGTTCCTGCAAGCTTTTTTTCAAAACGATGTCAGTTCCCTTTCTCCCTCCCCCTGCCTGAGGCACATTCCCAGAAATGACATCCCCAAACTAAAATAATTGCAGTTGCTGAACAATTTGCACTACGTGCACAATTTAGACATCTTTAAAAAGAAGATCTACATTCTCCAACATTATCCAAGTCTTAAAGTTGAAAAAACCTAGACAAACATGTATAGAATTTGAAGTGTCTTGAAGATAAGTTGTACTGCAAAAAACATTTTATTATTTAAAGTAAAAATAAATGAAAACAAACCTGGAGGATTCCAGTTAGGTAATTGAGTGAAAGCCACAAGTCTCAACACTCCACATTTGAGTAAGATTTTATGAAAAATTAAATTCCTGCAATATTTTCAAGACTATGTCCAGGTACCAAGAAACCAATACCAATCTCTCCATTCCCAAATAATGGAGGCAGAACGCCAAAACTCAGGAACATCCAATGTTGGTAAACCCTATCTATTCTCATCTATTGCACATGAAGTCACTCTCGAACATATATGGAGTAACATAGAGAACATTAATTTAGGCAACATGAAAGCACATATTTGCCTAAATTCACTTGGATAACAGTTAGCATTGTATCAAGAGTGCAATTGCTTATACAATGGTTTCCTTTGCATTTTTATCTCTACAAGATACCTAGGATGTTGAATAATATTCGTTAAACCATCGCTGTGCTTCTTTGGGGCAGACAAATTGAGATCGATCAGTAGGAGAGCAGAGAATCGAAGAGAAAACCGCACGCTCTTCCCATGTAGGCCGTTTCTCACCGCTGTAAATGCCGCCCTTCTCTTAGCGGAGTTGAAATCAGGGAAAATGAAGACCTTACGGCTCTGATGGAAGAGTTGGTTCCAATTCCCACAACGAAAAGCCCTTTACTTTGGCGTTAAAGTAGTGAAACTGCACGATCGTTACTCTAGGCCTTTGATTTTCTCTGGTCAGCCGAAGGCGCGGGGCCAATACTGTGCACGCTCTATCTAGCAGTGGGGGAGTTGGAAAGATTTCTGACTCAAGCATATCGTGGAAAAACTGTAACATAAAGGTAACCGGATCACTCCCTTCTGCTTGCTCTGGGATGCCGATGACACGGAGATTGCATCGCCGAGAGCGTGACTCCATGTCCTGCTCTTTATCAGTATGAATTGTTTGTTAGCCGGATACAACTAGCACCGCCTGTTCCAGTGCTTCAATGCGGTCAGAGTAGCATGTAGATTTTCCAGATCCAGCGGCAGCTTGTTGCCATGACTCTCTGTCACGGTTGCCGACGATTAAAATTTACGTTGCCTTTCAGAAGCCCTAATTCTTTCCAAGCAACAACCCTAGAATAAGTGATTTAAAAAAGGAAACCACCAAGTGTGCTAAAAGCTTTAGGTAGCCTGAAAGATATAATTGAAAGAAAAAATGCTCGGGAGCTTTATTTATTAATTGTAGTGCACAGTGTTTATTATAAGGGGGTAGAATCTGCAGCTCAGTACTCACTACTCATGAGTACCTTTAAATTAGCTACTTTTTTACTCTTACTCAAGTAGTTTTTTGGGCAAGTACATTTTAGTCTACTCACACTACATTTTTTGGAATGTAATGATACTTTTACTTGAGTATGTTTTTTCAGTACTCTTTCCACCAGGGTCTGGAAGCGACACTCAGGCGACGTATTTCACACAAACCAAGTTCTCGTTTATCATCACATGATATCTACCTTAACAACACAAGCCTCGAATTTCGGCTTTATCTGGCACGCCAATTTATTTCCAACACAAGCTCCGATACCTCATTTCAAATGTTACATCACTAGCTGTGTGGCAATGATATACTGCTACTGTGGCACTGATTTGAGTTTGTTACCCTCCTCAATAATTTTCTTTATCTGAGGTGGGATTAAGGATTTCTACATCACATTGACTTTTTCTTGAGGATCCACTTCAAGGACTGTATTGACCTAAGACTGTTATGAAACTCAAGATGTGAGTTTCATAACAGTTAATATTTATTGGAATCCTAAACATGGCTAAGCCCACCGTAGAGCTTACACATGACTTTATTATGTCCAGTTGGTGTTTAGTTACAATGTAGAAATGCTTTGTTCATGTTGTTACTTTACTGAAGTATAAATGTTAGTATACATTTGAAAAGAAAATGAATATTCTAGTATTATTCCATTTTTACTCTGGTGCATTTCCACAGATGCTTTTATTACTGAAACTGCAGAAAATAATAAACTTCAAAAAAGCAAGCTGCACAGGTTACTGTATGAAAGCCAATCTAATGTCATGTGGACTGTTGTTGTGTGTCTTTGCAGGTTGTCTGGCTGTATGGTTACAGAGAAAGGCTGTGGCTATGTGTCTTCAGCTCTGAGTTTTAATCCCTCACACCTGAAAGAGCTGGATCTGAGCTACAATCACCCAGGAGATTCAGGAGTCAAGCTGCTCTCTGAAAAACTGGAGGATCCAAACTGCACACTGGGCAAATTCAAGTATGTTGAGCACGAAGAGATGTGTGTCAAGTCAAGTCAACCTCATTTATATAGTGCTTTTAACAATCTTGATTGTTCCAAAGCAGCTTTCCAGAGATAAACATATAATTTAAGGTAACTGAGATTGTTTTGGTTTTATAGCGGTTCTTAAATAATGTTATTTTCCAGTTAAACTTAGTTTTGATTGATTCACTTCCGTTGAAATTATCATTTGTTATTAAATTAGGGGCCACTAAGACGACACCGTTCTATCTAAACAGACTTTAAACGCGAACCTGTGATAAATGCTGATGGCATTTCACATGCGCATTAAGAATTGATTCTATAGTTATGTGTATTTGAATATATGTGCACAGGTTTGCAATTCCCTGCAAACCATGCCTAAACAAACTAATTGTCTTGCCTATAAATTTTGATACAGAATTTTATTTTATTTTATCACTTCGGGGTAGGTACGCAAACTGAATTTTCACAACGCTTTATCTGTAGAGTGGTATAGGTATCCTCCATAGGGAGAGTCTAGTTGGCACTTCAGCACTGTATTGTCATTGGGTCCAGGCGAAGGTCCCCCTGTCAGATCCGGAAAAAACGGCCAGGGTCCGGCAGGGTGGGGAAAACCTCGGGACAAACAAAGACACTAAAATTAGCGTAGATGCCATTATTTTTGTGATGTAACGAATACATCAGTATTTAAGGGAAGTGTTCCCAGTTCTGGCTGACCTAATCTATGCAGCCTAACATTGAATTATAGAAGAGATTTTTTTAGTCTAGCTTTGAACTGAGTGTGTCTGCTTCCCGGACAATGGTAGGAAGACTGTTCCAAAGTTTTGGTGCTAAATAGGAAAAGGATCTACCGCCAGAAGTCGATTTTGCTTCAGGCGCTTGTCTGAAGTATAAAATCATTGGTTACCCGTAAGCCAATCACATAACGTTTGGTTATGCGCCAGCTCAGCCGCATCGATCTAAACCTGTAAACACATAAGTTATATGATGCGAAAACAAAACCATCGAGCGAAATACAGGAGTGCACATGGCTGTGAACGACTTTTGTAGATTATGTGAAGTAAATCTATGCATCCACGGCACAATCAGGGCCTCTAAACTAATATTTGACAGTAGAGAGAAACAGGAAAATATTTGCAGCCAACTGTCAAAGATAGGATTAGTTCTGTTAAACACAGCTCTTTGTTCATCTCGAGTCTGTCGGAAATGCTGCAATTTAATTGCAAGATTACAGCATGACATGGCAATATTTAAGAACTGGAAAAGAAAGGAGACACTGACCTGTCAAAAGGGTGCTAGTTCGAGCCCGACAGATAAAAGAGACCGAGATACTCCCTCTGTTGGGAGTACGGCCACGACATCACCTCCATTTAAAATGTTTAACAAACACTCTTCTTGTTCGGGCTTCAGTTTGCAAATGCCGGGAATATTCTCCCCAACAGAGCGAATTGCATCCTGTGTCTCCATATCCGTGGTCGTTTTCGATTTCCCCAATCTTAAACTCGGCGCTTAGCGTCTACGTCACGGCTCTCAGCCCGCCCTCTGTTCGCTGATTGGGCCGGCTGTTTTCAGGCCGGAGGAAAACGAAGAGACATGTCGCTGTCTCAGACTGAGTACAGAAGCAAAAATAAATAGAGCGGAAGTACGAAGTCTGACGTAGTCAGGCTAAGGCGCTCTGGCTACCAGGAAACATGTGACTATGGTGGCTGGTGTCTCTGTTTTCATGTTCCGTGTGATCGAATCACCAATTACCAGAGCACAATCAACAGGATTCTCAGTGGGTGTTTCACTGAGCGGGGCAAATCGATTTGTTATGGGAATCGGAACGGAAGAGTGGTTTTTTGATCCGCGACTAGAGCGATCCCTCACTGTGACCCATCTGCCCTGCTGCACAGGCTCTACTTCAGCCGGAACTGAATCATGTAAAGAGTTCACTATGCAAGGCGCATCCAAAATAGTATCTAAAACTCTGGCACACTTACTATCCTCAATTAAAGTTTTGGATGCCTGTCTCTAGTTCTGAAATCTTCTCCGTCAGCCTGACTGTCTCCTTGCATTTATCACATACAAATTCTATATTGCCGACAGAGAAGGCTATGCTAAAAATGTGACATGAAGTGCAGGTGACAATAACAGGACAAGACATTAATCACCATGTTTGTTGACTGATTCTTACTCCCCTGGGCTTTTTAGGAACTCAAAGGCACGGGCGCGCAAGAGAAAAATAAATAAATAACTGAACATAATGGGTGGCGTGTTAACAGGCTAGTGAGTTACTAGTGTGTTGTACTAACAATAACGGAAGCTAGCGATGTCAAGTTAATCTGAAATATTAGATAAGCTGTATTAAGTAGTATAAACAACTAGAAATTATAGTAAATGATGGTTCAAAACAGAAAGAAATACGAAGCTATTACGAGGCTTAGATGAAGTTTACAGCCTCAAAGCAAACAAACTCACAGCAGGCAGCGAGGCAGACAGGAGCAATCGATCTGGGTGTGTGTGTGTGTGTGTGTGTACTGATTGTATCAGATGTGCAGAATGTAAGACTGTGTTTTTGTTTTATAGTGTGGATTATGGAGGAGAATTCAGGATTATAGAAGGACTACGCAAATGTACGTATACACACACACACAAGTTTAGTGATTGTTGTTGTGTTATAAATGTCAGATACCTGTGATCTCACATCGGATCCAAACACTCACACACACACACACACACACACACACACACACACACACACACACACACACACACACACACACACACACACACACACACACACACACACACACACACTCTCTCTCACACACACACACACACACACACACACACACACACACACACTCTCACACACAGACACACACTACACACACACGCACACACACACAAATGTTTGTTTCACTGTATTAGTGAGGACATTCCATAGACTTCCATTGGTTTTTATATAAGGTTAATTATATTTTCTATTGCCCAACCCAGCCCCTACCCCTCAACCTAAACCTACCAATCACAGAAACATGTGCAAAACACTAGATTTAAATTGTACATGTGTTGGCCAATTTATATGTCTTTTTAACTAGTGAGGACCAGTAAATATAAAAGTGAGGACATTTGGCCCTTACAAGTATAGCGAAACCTGTACACATACATACACACAGCATTGATTATTGTTGTGTTATAAATGTCTCTCTTCTTGTGTTTAGATGCCTGTGATCTCACACTGGATTCAAACACAGCAAACACTCGTCTCATTCTGTCTGAAAAGAACAGAAAGGTGACATCTGTGGAAGAGTACCAGTCATATCCTGATAATCCAGAGAGATTTGATGGGTGTCGTCAGGTTCTGTGTAGAGAGAGTCTGTCTGGACGCTGTTACTGGGAGGCTGAATGGATTTTAAATGCTGATATATCAGTGGCATATAAAGGAATCAGCAGGAAAGGAAGTAAGGAAAACTGTTGGTTTGGATTCAATGAAAACTCCTGGAGTCTGAACTGCTCTGATGACGGATTCACTGTCTGCCACAATAGTAAGGAAACTGGCGTAGGTGTCCCTTCAGGCTCCTCAAAAAGAGTTGGAGTGTATTTGGACGTGTCAGCCGGCATTCTGTCTTTCTACAGCGTTTCTGGCAAACACACACTCACACACTTACACACATTTACCTTGACATTCACTGAACCCCTCTATGCTGGATTTGGGGTTTCTGTGTCAGGCTCCTCGGTGTCTGTGTCAGATTGAAAAGCCTGGAGGCAACAAGACATCACCTAACTGATAAAAAACACTCTTCCTTTATATACTGTTGTTCTGTCACTTACCCAGCATGCTTTACATCTGCATGAGCTCTGACCAGGTTTTTGTCTATTTAGGTTTGGTGGTTTGTTCTTTAGTTAACGGTCCAAAATTGTGTATAATATCGTGTGTGTATGTTTACCATTATCGAGTTGTCTAGTCTCATAAGTGTAGTGCAGCTTGATGGCAAGTTTCAGCTAATAATGAAAGAAATTGAGCTTTACTACTCATTGAATGAACTGAATCAATTCAATCAATTGTTGTTTTTTTATTTATTGTTTTAAAGCTCTCAAATCTTGGGTCACTTTTTTGTTGTAATTGAAGTCTTTATTTTTTTTTACATTTTTAACAGAACAAAACAAACTCAAAATAAAATAAAAATAGACATAAAAATAAAAAGACAGCTTCCAAACATAATTCATTTCCATTTGCATTTTGGGCTCAGTATCACTAACCACTACAGACAGAAACGAAAAGGATACATTAAAATCAAATTATAAAGTGTCTATACATGCCACATCACTAAAATAACAGACTTAACAAAAGAGAAGCACAAAAAAAAAAAAAAAAAAAAAAATCCATCAATCTCAGTCAAAAACCCGTCCCCAAGATTTGTCAAAGCCCTCCATATCATCATTAATCCTGGCCAATAATTTTTCATTTGACACAATTTTCAGTGTATTTTCTTTCCACCTGTTAATCTCTGGAGGAGATGGATCCTTCCACACACTGAGAATCACTCGGGCACCCCCACCTTTATAACCACAAAATCATATTTCAAAACTCCCGGTAACACAGACTGATCCCCTAATAAGCACAATCTTGGTGACGGGTATTGTCAGGCCAATCCACCTTCCTATACTGTCCAGTAGGGGTGTAACGGTACATGTATTCGTATTGAATCGTTTCGGTTCGAGGCTTCCGGTTCGGTACGCATACAAACCGAACGATTCCTTGGACCATTTTTCCTACCGACAAAATTCGCGCTGGCGCGATCACCACAACGTTGCGCAACATCAAATGGCAAGCGTAAAGAAAGCGGAACGAAACTGCGCTACTCATTATGTGCTTCACGGATCGTTTATCAGTTCGGAGTTCGGACCAGCAAGATCTGTGCAGCGCGAGCCGATCTCGATCAAGCGACACTGTCACTACACAGCGCTAAGAGATCCAGTAAAAAAAACATTTGAATTCGCCACTGAAGTAATAACATCGCTGCGAAATCTAGTGAGAAGCATTCAAATTTCTCCGTTATTAACCGTGGATCTCTATTAGATCAAACAGCGCTGACGTGGACAGCAGGAGAAATATTGTGCCGTGAATGAACTAGTAATACTTTGGGTCCACAGACCAGCAACATTCACCATAACTGTAACCAGTTTGGCTGGAATAGTGAAATGCTTTCAAGTACATTACACATCTTTTTCCAGCACTTCAAAACTCAAATATTATATAAATAAATATTTGAAGAGTTCAGATGCAAAAGCCTCTAAGTGCCATTTGAAATTTTCTTCTAGAATGATCATTTTTATGAAGCTTGTATATTTAAGTTCAGTAATTTCACTCAAATGACAATTAATAGGTAATCTTCATTGCCATTTAAGTGAAATTACTGAACTTAAATATACAAGCTTGATAAAAATAAAGAATTTCAAATGGCTTTTGCATCTGAACTCTTCATATATTTAAATGTTATTTTTAATGTGATGACCAAAACATTATTTGTTCATCCTTCAAAGATGACCCCCATTTATAAACCTGAAAGTTTCAAGATGTAGGAAAACTCACACTTATTTAAAAAATATTTTTTCTTTTAACAAATAGGAAATTTCTCTGGCATTTCTTTTTGCTGTATCGAAAACGTACCGAACCGTGACTTTAAAACCGAGGTACGTACCGAACCGTGATTTTTGTGTACCGTTACACCCCTACTGTCCAGTACTCTTTGCCAAAAGGGGTAAACTGTCCCACATTCCCAAATAGCATGCAGAAATGTCCCTGGCTCTGAGCTGTATTTCCAGCATATATTATTGGGCATGATTCCCATTCTATGAAGTTTAGAAGGAGTAAAGTACCACCTATGTATTAATTTGTACTGAATAAATTACCTCTGGCCTCTCTTATATATTTATTGGAGTGTGACAGAACTTTACACCAATCTTCTTTACCAATGACACAACTCAGATCTCTCTGCCAGATGATCCTCAAATGTTCACATATCTCTTTTTTTAAATTGTTAAATAATTTGTAGAGAACGGCTGCTCTATGTGCTGAACCAGATAATTCTAAAAACTCCACCACTGCATTTGTGCTTTGAGTATATTTTCCTTCGATAATACAATCCCTTATTTGTAAATATTTCCAAAAATATTTTCCTAATCAGACCATATTTTTGGCTTATTTCAATAAAGGACATAAGCACTCCCTCTGAATAAAGATCACTTATCATGTGTATGCCTTTGGCCAGCCATTCATTCCAATATACAGTTTCTTTCCCAATCTGTGCAGCACAGTTGTTCCATAACGAGGCATAAGGTTGTCTTAAATGAGATGCTCCACACATCTTGTGTACTTTTACCCAGACAGCTTTAGAATACATGAGTACCGGGTTATGATGAAAGTTCTGTCCATTATTAGCTGATCCCTGTGAGAGAACATCCACGGGTGTAAAAGGGCTCACTAGTTCCTGTTCGATCTTGATCCAGCTCAGTTCAGAGCCCAACCCTGTCCAGTGTTTGACCAGTCTTGATATTTCAAATGCTAAATTATACAGTTTCACATATGGAAGAGCCATTCCCCCAATGTCTCTAGAGGCCCACATTTTCTTTATATTAACTCTTGGCTTCTTCTTGTTCCACAAGAAATCTTTAATTATCTTTTGAAATTTACTAAATATATGTAAAGGATTCTTACAGGTAACATCATGGAAACATAATTAACAATATAATAACTGTGGGTCCACCACCATTTTAATCACATTAATTTTACCCCATAATGTAAGATTCATTTTTCCCCATTTATCCAGATTTGTTTTTATTTTAGTAGAAGAGGTTCCATATTTGAAAGCATAATATCCTCTAGGTTTGGGTTTAATAATATTCCTAAATACTTCATACCTGAAGGTAAACACTTGAAATTGAATGTAGTAATGTATCTAGAATGGCATGATGCTGAGAGCGGCATGCCTTCCGATTTGTTCCAATTTATTTTATAACCTGACAACCTTGAATATGACTCAACACATGTGAGCAACACTGGTAGAGATTGCATGGGATCAGTTAATACTGCTAAAATGTCGTCGGGATACAGAAACAGCTTGTGTTCCGTACCCCCTGCGTGAACACCTCTGATATCTGTATTAACGCGAATCGCTATAGCTAGTGGCTCCAGAAATATCGTGAAGAGCAGTGGGGACAAAGAACACCCTTGACGGGTCCTGCGTGAGAGATTAAAAAAGTCTGACACCAATCCATTTGTCAACACTGCTGCCCTCGAACTGGAATATATAGTTTTCACCCAGTTACAAAATCCAGGCCCGATCCCGAACATTGAAAGGGTTGCCATAAGAAAGCCCCATTCTACCCGATCAAAGGCCTTCTCCGCATCAAGCGAGAAGGCCGCCACTGGGTGTAGACTAGATTTACTTTTGTGTATAAGATGAATAATTCTTCTCATGTTATCGCCCGAACTCCTATTCTTAATAAAACCAACTTGATCACCATTGATAATATCTGGCAATATCTTAGAATCAACTCCTAAAAGGCTTACTGGTCGGTAATTCGCTGGATCTGATATATCCCTATTCTTTTTAGGAATACGGGAGATTAATGCATTATTAAATGTACCCGGTAAGGAGCCTATTTCTAGTGCCTCAAGGTATACTTTATGCAAGACTGGAGCCAGGATATCAATATATTTCTTATAATATTCAATCGGGAAGCCATCCAATCCTGGCGACTTCCCATTTTTCATTGTTGAGATAGCAGTTCTGACCTCTTCTTCCGTTATAGGTGCGTCCAGCCTTGTTTTTTGTTCAACAGAAAGAGTTGGTAATTGTAGACCTGAAAAAAATGTCTCCACCTCCTCCGCATTAAGCGCCCCAGCAGAAGTATACAAATCTTGATAAAATTATTTGAAAATTGAGCTTATTTCCTTTGATGAAGTTATCTTGGGTCACTTTATAATGTAGGTTCAGTTTTAATAAACACACATGCATGTGACAGTTAATTGTTTCAAAAGCTTGCAAAAAAACAAAACAAAAAAGCACTATAAATTATTAAATGAACACAAAATATTAATCATATTTAAAGGGATAGTTCGGCCAAAAATGATATTTAACACATGCATTACTCACCCTCAAGCCGTTCAAGATGCATATGTCAATCTTGTTTCAGACGAACACATTTTCAGTTATTTTAGAAAATGTCTTAGACCCTTCAGTGGATATAATGTGAAGCAATGGGGTCCACCTCCTTCATGTCCCAAAATGTGCATACATCCTTCACAATAGTAATCCATCCGGCTCCAGGGGGATAAACGAAGGCCTTCTGAGGGTAATCCGTGCAGTTTTGTCGTAAAAATATACATATTTAAAACTTTATAAATGAAAATATCTGACTTCCGGCAACGATCGACGCGCGTTCACGGGTGATGGAAGTCAGCGTACGAGGTAGGACGTAGCGTAGGAACCGTCGTGACGTAGAACGAACGTGCCTGCGCAGCCAGAGAGCAGAGCAAAACAACGTCTACGTCACGATGGTTCCTACGCTACGTCCTACCTTAAAATTAACTATATTTCAAATGTAATCTTTCTTAGTATATATTAAAGTATACATTTTATCATACATATTTCACAGTTGCGGATTAATTAGTTTGAATATAGCCTACAATCGAACAAACACTATAATAACATCTTAGCAAACAAGCTTATTTGATGTGGCAGTATTTTACAGTAAAAACGACATCTTGTCTTTCATATGTAACATATCGTTTTTATGATTAGGACATATAAATGTTAATTTGCAGTTTAATACGTTGCTTCTACAAAAATATTTTATTTCAACATATTTCAGTCGATTT